TACAGCTCTCCAGGACAAATATTGTTCTATGAATTCAATAAGACATTTTGCCTTTCGAGTGATTCACACTAGACTATCACTATATAAATATATGCTTTAAGTACAAATGAAACAATCATCGCTTCATGTTTAGGGATTGCGCAATATACACTGATCCAGAACAGTTGTATATTGGTTGATGCTTTTTTAGAGTTATTCATCAATATTTGATAAACATGAGACATGTAAATTTACCCAATCAAATATTGCAGAATATTTGACGATTTTCTAGCCAATCAGCGGCGATGTACTCAGGTAGGTGACATTTGTTCGGTCATATCTCGTGTTTTACGTCTATCGTACTGTGCAACAAGCCATGCAAATGGTAGATTTTCTCGATCGGAATGATAACATTTCATCATCGAAACAAGAACAAACAAGAACAAGACGGTATTGATACGTTGAATCACGAAGCATTCAGCGAGGCCGATCTCTATACTCACAATTCACCCATATGGATGTATGTGGCTCCAATATTGATCATAGTAGGAGTGACAGAAAACTGTTTATCTATTCTAGTGCTAACTCGTGACAGATTTATACACGTTCCCAGCCGCGTGACCCTGGTTGCTTTGGCAATAGTGGACTGTGTGGTTTTGTTCATCGGTCTCATCCGATATTGGTTAAATGTGACTTTTGATATGCACCCAGTCGAATGGAACAGTGCTTGGTGCAAGATCATGTCCACACTAGTTCTATTCTCTTCGCATTTGAGCTCTTGTTTAGTCGCACTGCTCAGTGTGGAACGCTTCCTTGCTGTCTGTCTGCCGCGCAAGATATTTCGACCATCAATCGATAAACTCGGAACGGTTTTGCTGATCGTGTTTTGTTTCAGTGTGGATGCAATTCATCTCAAATTTTCTGTCCTACGAAGTGTGCTGACGGATTCTAACGATAAGGAGCCTTTGGAACTGAATGTCAGTGAGCATAAAAAGTACGTGTGCTCCAGTGAAAGCGACTGGGTTGCATTGTGGCAGGACATTGCAGACGTGCTTTTGTTATTTGTTCTACCTTGTATCGTCATTACCACATGTAACATCTATATTATTTTGGCTATACGCAGAAATTCCAAACGAGTGGGCCGATCCGGAAAACGTCGAGATACGCTTCCTACAATTAGTTCCAAACCGGTCGAATCCGAACAGACTGCATTCGGTCGAAAATCGCCCAACCGGATACGTGGCGGTGAGAAACGCGCAACCATTCCGTCTGGCTGCAAAGACCGGAATGTACGAATAACAACCACCTTGTTGTGTGTCACGTTCGCATTTCTTTTATGCAATTTGCCGTTCGCTGTGGTTCACATAATGCGCACCGCGGACAGCAGTCGGCGAACACGAGAATGGAACATCGCCTGGTTGGTTACATACATTCTGGTCTATGTGAATAATTGTCTTAATTTCCCCATATACGTGGTCTCACAGGAACAGTTTCGAAACGAGCTGAAGAATCTGTGTTGCACTAAACGTTTTGGACGAGGATGTACAAAAATCAGACAATAATATAACCAACACCGGTATGAATTGTTCACATTTACCATGGATTCAGTAATGATATTGCTATTGCCCCTGGGGCTTGTCGATGAAATAATTTTCACTGTATGGTTACATATTTTCATTCTGTGGAATGTGCACTGTGTCTTTGTCTTGTCCGTACAGCGATTACCATTTGATGTCTTCTTTCGATTTGGAAAAGATCTATCGCAAATGTTTACCGCTTCTGTGATTCCTAATCTATTGAGTTCTTGGGACGTTCAGCGGACCCATAAAAGAGGAAACTACGATGGTACTTTAAGTAGTTACCGTGACTAGCATTCGTAACAGAAGTGGATCAAAATAGCAAATTCTGATCCGGGAAAGATTGAATGCAGCGAGTTGAGTCATAACTGTGCAGGAAAATTAATTATACAGAAATGCGATAAAAATTTCCTGTCAGTAGACAAAACGACCGAATCAATGAAAATTCATGGTACATCTTAAGCTGGTTTAATACGTAGATATAGCACGATCAGAGTGGTCTTCTGGCTACGATCAAAATTGAGCAATCAGACAACATAAAATAAAAATTTATTTGGTAACCAGAATTTCATTCGTCAAGACAGAGTCAACGCCATTGCACTTCCTATCCTTGTATTTTACAAATGGCACGGTGAACAACAATCATTGATTTACGTCAGATTCATAGAAATTAAACTCTACTGAAGGAAAAATAAAATAATTTCCTCAATCTGTCTGTGATGGTGCACATGTAGTTGACTGCTCAGGCTGTCTCTTACAGTCGGAAAATAGCAACGAACCGTAACTTTTGTGCAATCAAGGATGCCATTTACTTTTTCAAACTCATGGAGGAATCATTCTCCGACCGAAAATCCCCCTTCCATAAAGGCAACTTAAACTATTTGTGAGTTGTACATCTCACGTCGATCACATGAAGTGTGCATGGATGTCATTGGGTGGGGAGGTAAATCGTAGTGATGCCACCGAGCATCCTGACTAACGAATCTTACTCAGGTGGTGGTGGCCTAGTGGTAAAGAGCACCAAATTATCACCCCGGAGGACGTGAGCTCGAATCCCACCACCATCACCTGGCATTCCGCATTGTTTGTTGTATGACAGCCTTTTGATTGACGGCACACCTTTCACGAAAATTGTAGCATTATGTATTCAATGAAAGAAAGTGAAAGGAAAAAGATATCACTGTGTCTTTTTCCAGATAAATCGAAAGCACTAATACCAGCTCAAAACATTTCACGCATAAGACATATCGTGATAGCTATTTAGTAAAACTGAATAAACTAACATTATCATATACATTTTCTCTGATCATTTCAAGTTTAATTATTGTCTGTTTAACAAAATAGTTGTGTTGATCATTTCCATATTTTGCATGCGGACAATTTACAGACATGGACTACACCGTTTATTCAAATTGTTTGAAGCACTTATAACATTTAAGTTTCGAATAAAGCTTCCATAAGGAACATCTAACAGAAGTCAATTTATCAGAATTTCTTTAGAGATCGCATCCCCGGGCCACCTGCAAAATTCAGGGGGACNGGGACTGTCTGCGGCCCTTTTACTCAATGCCATGTGTTTTTCATGCTCTGTCAAGTGCTTGGGTTATCGGAGAATTCTTTCACACGTCCCCACTCTCTTTAAACTTCATTCATTCCTGCCGTGAACCTTTCACAACTGTCATTTCCCGTTCGCTACCCTGCCCAGTATGATCACACTAANCTAATAGATGTGTTTCTCTCTTATCATTCCATTTTACGTATCTTTGATCTTCCGATTCGATCGCATGGGAACTGATCATTTGTTTGCTAACCCATTTCTTTCACCAGTCCACCTGGATCCTTTTAAATCGTGGGACCGAGACAACTTTTGCGTTTACGCAACTCTCCCTTGATGCTACAGCAACTAGTGATTCCGATCCGAAGACTTTTGTTGTCTTTTTACATTCATTGCATTCCTTTTGGTGAACGCATCGTGACAGTTACTGCTTCACCTGATACGTCGCCACTGGATACTCGGAACTGGAATGCCCACAATTTGAGGTATGACGCGCTGCAATTGAATTCTGCCTTCTGTTATAACAGTCAAATTACGAAAATCTAGTTATCTGGAATCGGAAATGGGGCTCGTTTCATAACTTCACTCAACCACTGAATAACGACCTGACCAACGGAGCTTCCAAATATGAAACGCAGCAATACAAGTTACACCTAAATTCTGTAGAAAGAACGCAGAATGGTGGTAGCCTTTGAACCGACATTTGCAATCAATGTGTTAAATTAGATCCGTATAGGAATGTTTGGATTAGCCACAGCGAGAGAAAACCAAAAACAACAATTTTTCTTCAAAGACATTCGTTCCAACTTTGAATGTGATACCTTGAGTGTGTTAAATTATTGGTCAGAGAATAAACAATGATTAAATAATGTTCTTGGTTTGTTTTAGGCATCTGGTATCTGCTATGAACGATCAGATGAGATCATTATATAAACTAAATGGAACGAAAAAATCATTTCATGTTGAACATAAACATGAAGACAGAGTTTGTAAGGTCAATAATTTCGATAAGGAAATATGTATTTTAAAGATAATGTTTAGGAGTTCCTACTTGAGAATCGTTTATAGCATTGAGCGACAAATCATCAATGATACTCCGGAAGATATGACTTGGTAGCTGTATTTGCTTGTCGCATGAACAATGGACAACAGTTTAACATATAACTGACTTCCGAAAGGCCAGAGTGTTTTTTCTTAGATTAGTTGTGAACTTTTAACTATAAATTGATTGTTCAATACGGATCGGTTTAGTATTTAACCAACTGACAAATTTACCACTCCAAACCAAAACTTACATCATACCCTCAAATACCAAAGTTAAATGAGAGTGACGGAATCAATAACTGTAAAACTGACAACGCTATTTTCCTATTATAAACTGGTTTGCAGCCCCCGTACTGAGAGCTTATACATTTCTACATTTCGTACAAACACGATTATTCACTAGTGATGATTAAATGAGATGAAATTCAGACTCTGGTCATTTTTGGTACTCCTTTATAAGAAAATTAGGAAGGTAGAATACAAGACATATAACCTCTTAAAAAATATGAATCTATTCTTTATATAGCCATCTGGTGTAAAATCCTGGGCAGAGAAAATATTTTATAATTATCAGCCAATTTCGTCGTATCAGTAAAAGAAGTAGTTGAGTTCGTCAAAGTTCTATGGGAAATCGATGATTAACACACAGTCTGCTATTAAATGAGTACATTTTGTGCGTGTTTATTGCTCTCAAGTGCATCAGAAGCTATGCTACGCAAAAACACCACATGAGGAAAGCAAAACGTCCATCATAAACTGAATTCCACTGATCATTCTGTCTTTCATTAGGTGATCCCAATGAAAGTTTTGTCTTCCTAACACGCTACGACGACTTAAAAGTAATTGCAGTGGTGCATGTTTCAACAATCACGCACAGTGCGACCACGTCCGAGTGCAAACAAATGTGTTTGAGCTTACACTATCAGTCTGCTGTCTAAGGTACTAAATTAATCAATATTAGTTTTATCACTGTTGTTTTAAATAAATACCTAAGTTCTACAAATGGTGATAGAGAAATAAAGAAATAAGGAAAGCGCAACAATAAATTTGTAATAATTAAAGCGTCATTTCCCAATAACTTCAGTTGTCCGGTTAGTTAATTCCAAAGACCACTGTTGAGTTTTACAATTAATATCGTGCCTGTAACCATCTTGTGACGACACGATTCTAACATTTGGTCAGTAAGAGCGCTTGATGGTCTGGGTTTCCAGTCTTGTCTGCACAATAACTATAAATAAATAACTACCGGTAACATTTGTTCCAAAAAGCATAAGCTGAATTATCTTCCAGGTGAGTTTAGCCACAGTCTTACTATGAATTGGGGAAGGAAAAATTTGTATAAGTCTGGAATGTCCTTTGTTTCGTTGTTTTCTAACGTAAGACATTTTCTTGGTCGGTAACAATTTGGTACTCTTAAGAAAATGAAAAAGAAACTATTGTGAAATATGTCAAACGAGAATATCATTGTGTTTTTAAACTAAAAAATTAAATTTGATGTGATCACAGTTCAAGCGAAAAAACATGCAAAATCCAAATTGGAATGGTCATTTCATGCATGTGTCAAATAAATGAATCGGTGAAATTTTCAGTTTGCGGAATCAAAATAAAAGAATAAAGTGCTAAATTAGGTGAGCTTTTCTGCTTGTTCTATCAAACTAAGCATACAGTTTATTCGAGTACAACTTCCATGAGCTTCAAAAGTTGTTTTGAAGGCCAGAAATACTTTGTTTTGTTACGTTGGTTGTATTTTGTATTGTTGCAATCATACTCAGTCTTGGAATGAAAAAAGGACGAATGAGGCAACAGCTGACTTTGCCATGAAACACACATCAAGACTATCCCATGAAACGCATAAAGTTTATTAATCTGTCAAGCAGTTCTGTATAAAGAAACGTTTATACTTTCCTCACAGTTTTGATAATCCATTGCGGAAGTAGTTTTGCATCGGAGACCCCGTGAATATCTTTTCAGAGGCTCAAAGAAAAGAAACATAATCCTCGAGAGGACGTATACAAATAACTGGAAGCAATGTTTTCCCGTCACAAATTTGAATAGAGAAGTCAGCAACATGGGTTTGCACAATGTATCCATGGTCATTTCGCTGCATCTGTACACGTGCATACTGCAGTATACAAATAAATACTTCTATCCTAAGAGCATCAATCTAGTGGATTGCAAATTTCTTGATTACACATTATTGTCAAGTAACGTCGAGAACTACGAAAAATAATGGTCCGGTTTTGCCGATATTGATTATGTAAGTTACTTAAGACTCATTATGTACCAATTTAAACTCACCTAAAGTGAACTCATCGGGACAGTTATCAATTGGATTTTATTTTTCTATGCATCCGTTTGTTGTTTTTCCGCTGGAACGAATGATTGTATAACAACTAAAGTACCAGGTATACTATCTAGTTATGACTAAAATAGAAATGATTTTCTCATAACAAACAGTCTTTCCACAAAACCCACAGGCTGGAAACAAATTTCGGATTCAGAACTTACAGTGTCACGCTAGAAAGTATTTTGTATTAGGCTGTCTGAGTACCCACATTCATAGCAATGAAAATCATCAAACGATGCAAGAAAAGTTAAGATCGTGGCAATACAAATTATTTTACTGATACATTCCTAAGAATTATGGATATATTTGTACGTTCGAAACGAATGATATACCATAATTGAAATGACGACTTCACGTATACCGTTAAACTCAAACCGTCTACCGGCACTCTATGCATATCTCATTTTATTCCTGTGAATTGTACAGTTTCATAATTCTGACTCAAACATTATCTTTTTGTCCTTAGTTCTCAAATTCCGTGTTTTTTTTCCTATAGTGTCCTTAGTTTTCTGCAAG